GCCTCTCTCTGTGTGTCCCTCATGAATAAATAAATAAAATCTTAAAAAAAAATAAGATTAAAAACTGAAGACTTCCCAAGGTTCATAGATACCATGTTAGTCTACAGGAACTTTGGGTTCATGCAGTGTCTTTCTGATTTGAGTCACATAATCTTAGGTCTTACCGTACTTGAGCTTTTCGTTGGTCCTTTTCTCATCAGCCCATTTTGGTTTGATTTGATTTGGGGATTTTGGGGGGGGGATGTTGTTTTTGCCTGCAGTATTCCATGTGTGAAGTATCTTTCCTTTTTGGATGGGAGCTGGTGGTGTTTTTTTTTTTAGCTGCTGTCATTAAAACTCATTCCCTTTTTTTCTCTTCACAGGCTGCTTTGATCATGCAGGTTCTTCAGCTGACTGCAGACCAGATCGCCATGCTGCCTCCTGAGCAGAGGCAGAGTATCCTAATCTTAAAGGAACAAATACAGAAATCCACTGGAGCACCTTGAAAGGTGAGCAGACTTAAACCTGCATAAGTTGGACAAGCTGCTTGTGCCTTTGGGGTATTAGATACTTTCAGCCTTAACCAGCAGCACTGTCCTAATCTAAACACTGTCTGAGGACTACACTCCTGTTGGCTAGATTCTTCACCCTTCATTAAGTAAGTTCCTGTCAGGATAGGGGAAGGCAATAGATCTGTTCAGTTGTCAAGTTGGTTGTAGTCTTGTTTAATCTTCCTTCCCTAATGGCAAAAGTAACGTGATCACTTTTACAAAATTAATCATACAGAAATGTAGAAAGGGCAGGATGGGAAGCTCTGCTTCCTGAATCTCATTCCCCAGACAACCTATAAATATAGCTTGGGGTGTCTCCTTCCAGAATCAGTTGTTATTTTATTCCAACTGTCCCATCAAAATGGAGAAACTACAAAGCATTTCAATAAAATGTATAAATATTTTGGTTTCCAGTATTATTTATATTGACTATTTTGATGTTAAACTGTTAGAGTGCATATTTCAGGGTAGTAACTATACACCACCACCATCAATGTCCCTTTACATTTTAGAGGTTGCTGTCACTGCTGCCCTTTATTTTTCTTGCTTATCTGTTAGGTAAAAGGGATCACGATCATGGAATCCCCTAACATCTTATATTTCATAAATAGTTGGGTTTTTTTTCTTTAAGACTCTTCTTTTTTCTTATTAAAGATTTTTCTTATTTTTAAGTAACCTTTGTACCCAAGTTGGGGCTCAAACATAACCCTGAGATCAAGAGTCATATATGCTCTACCAACTGAGCCAGCCAGGTTCCCCAATAATTCTGTTTTCTAAAAACAGCTTAAAAAATAAAATGAAATAAAAACAGCTTAAAATTTTCATTGTCCCAGTATCAGCTGGAATATCACATTTTGAATTTCTACTTTTTACCCCTCTGTATTATAATTCCCATCCATATATTATATAATAGTGAACTCATTTACGCTAATTACCAATCTTTACTAAATATATTGTATTTTAATCCATATTTGCAATATCATTAAAACATCCAAACTGGAAACATGCATCTTATTTGTAGACTTAATTTTTTTTTAAGATTTTATTTATTTATTCATGAGAGAGGTACAGAGAGAGAGAGACGGAGACACAGGCAGAGGGAGAAGCAGGCTCCTCATAGGGAGCCCGATCACTCCCTGAGCCGAAGGCAGATGCTCAACCACTGAGCCACCCAGGCATCCCTGTATTTAGACTTTAAATAACTAAACTATAATAGGAAGCTATCATAGATGCATAGCTAGCTAGACTTTTGATATGACCAGTACTTTAACTTTTTGGTCCAGATACCTGAGGCATTTTCTTTAGTAAAATTATAGGCTATTTTATTGAGACGAATACATTAAAAACCATTTCCCTCTTTAACTTTTTCTAATTTATTTATGTCATGTCATTCTTACAATATGAGGAAATTACTGTTTTTGGATAGTGGAGATAGAAATGTTTTTGAAAGTTCTTCCATTACATATTCTAGCTTATAAAATATTTCAGAACCCTTGCACATAAACCACAGGGCAAGGGTTTTTGTTTTACATTTTATTTTGGAATAATTATAAATTCACAGAAGGTTGAAAAAATAGTACAGAGAGCCTTATGTACCCTTCCCCAGTGATAACCTCTTCAGAACCCATTGTGCAATACCTTTTTGGTTTGTAGTACAAAACCTAAAAACTGACATTGGTATATTATTGTTAAGTAGACTACAGACCTTATTCAGTTTTAACCATTTTTAAAACCTACATTAATGGGGGGAGGTGGTGCTATGTGCATGTAGTACTATACAGTTTTACATGGGGGAAGTTTGCTTGTGCATACTGCAGCCAAAATGTTGGTTCTCCATCCATCCTGCACCTTAGTAGTTGTGATCCATTTCTGCTATCACTTGACAGGCTTCTATACCATTACCATTAGATTAATAGTTCTCAACCAGAGGCAGTTTTGCTCCCTATAGGACATTTGGGAATGTCTGGAGACATTTTTCATTGTCACAACTTTAGGGGGCATGGTATACTACTGGCATGCAGTGGAGAGCAACCAGAGATGCCTTTGAAAATCCTATAGGATATCCACCCCTCACACCCCCCACCACCCTCCACATAACAAAGAGTTATCTATCTCCAAATGTCCACAGTGCTTAGGTCGAGAAACCGTGCTGTAAGAGATGATTACTGTGGGGATCCTGGAGGCAGACACCTTAGCAATCTCTCCCTGGTAATTTGCTCTTTTGGCATAGCCTCCCTCCCCCACTTTAAATTTTTTTTTCCTGATGTTTGGGGAAGAGAACTTTGTCTCCATCTCTAATGGCTTTCTCCCAACTTTTCCTTACAGGTTTTCAAAAATAACCTGGCAACAAATCGGGACACTAATTCCATAACTTTGTTGAAACGTTGCAAAAAGATGACTTCTGCATCCTAACCTTGAATGACTCAAATTGGTGCCAGGTGGAGGATTCACATCACCTTCTCTCAGAACAAAATCAGTTCATTCTATTGTCTTAGTTTGTATATTTTCTGTGACTTGAAATAAACTTTGAACACAATTTTAGTATACTGCAAATTGATATACACGACCTTTTTGCTTTTAAAAAGCTGAACACCAGGGGTGAAACCTTAGATGTGTTTTCAACCCTTACCGCAGTACTGTGCTTTAATGTTATATTGCCATAATTCTGTTTTTCCTTTAAGTTAACCACTTATTCGTCTTGGTGATATTTGAGAATTTCTTAGAAGCAATGTTTTCTAGAACTTAGTTTTTTGCTTTGTTTGCTTCCAGCAGGAATAATAAGATTTTCCCTTTGAGAACTTGCTAGAGCTTCTGAGTTTACTGGGAGAAAATAGTCCATGCTTAGAGCTATAAAATTGTCAGAAGGCCCACAAAGCAAAGAGCCTAGTAGAGCAGTGTATGTACTTAGTTTAGAAAAATCCAATGATCAGAATGCACTTTTTTCAATCAATAGCAGGTTTATTCACATGCACCATTCAGAGTTAAGACAAAAATGTATTGGCACTGGTTCAGGTGTATCGGCAACACAAGAGACTGTTGACATTTACCTGTCTTAAAACTCTTCAGTCTCAGTAGTCAACCATAAAAGTTTAAAAAGCCACCAATTTTTCACATGTTCAAAATGAAATAAAAACAAAATAGAAATCAAGTGAACAAAATACATTTAATTCTGCCTTCTAGATAATCACTAACCTACAGCCTTCCCCCTATAACCAAATTTATTCTGGGAAATTAAAACATAGAAAACCCTAAAACTTTTACATTCTTCTCACTTATTTTAAGAGGACCAGATGTAGAGCGTAAGAGGTCAGATTGCCCATTAGGCCTGCCCCTGCCTGCTGCCTCGCAGATAGATGTGACAATAATTAGTGCCACTTGCTCTAACCTATGGCTCCTCCTGCCTAGTATTCTCTCATAGTGGTGTTAAGGAGGAACATGATTTCTCTCCATCAGGCCAACCTCAAGAGGTTAAGAGATGCCTTAATAATTAGTAAAGTTCCACTGGAACTATTCTTTGAGCCTATTTGTATTCTCAGAATCCTACCCCCTTCTGGGTTAGGATTATGGTCAAGTGAATTAAAAGCCTGCCATAGGCTTAGAGAATGTAATAGCATATTGCTTACATGTCAAGCAAAAGAATGCAAAGATAATCAACTTTATGAGAGACATTGAAATTGTGAGGGATTTTTCTACTCTGATGTAAACATTTACTACCAACAAAGGTTTGCTGAATAAGCTACTTCATATTACAACCTAGGAAGAAAAACTTGCTCAAAACAACTGAGGAGATTTCTGGGTATCCTGCTCATCCCTAATTCTGGCTTGGATGTTGATTATACATAGGATTTATTATTATCATTACCTTTTCTGCCTACTTCCATGAATATTCTAGGCCTTAATATGTTGATTTTAGCAGCAGTCATATCTTGAAGTATTGATATATTTAGACATTGAAACCAAGAGCAAAGCCCTTCTCATCAGGAATTCATAAGTTTCAAGGAACCCTAAGATTCCAAATCGGAGTCAATGAAGATCAAATTTTATGGTCAGCGATTGTCTAAGGAATCATCCAGATTCAATTGTGCATTTTCCTAAAGCCTTATTCAATTTAATTTAGGTAGTTGAAATCCAGGAAATCAGCAACAGCAGGGATATTCTAATCTATTCCTATGTAAGTACCCAGTACTATTTTTTCCTGATGTCCAATTAACAAATGGAACATGATTAGCCACTGTGAGTTCATGACACCTTTGTTTTGTTCAGACTAGTTACTGAAAATGGATCTTACTAATCCTTCAAGTCATACAAGTTTCTGGATAATTCAAAACAACAATTTATTCATTTTTGGTCACTTAATTGTAGAAGAAATAGGTTACTAAGTTAGAATACTAAATACTAAGTCAGTAGAAACATTCTTACAAATTTAATGAGTGGACTTGTCTGGGCACAACAAAGTAAGGGTTTTTGGGGGGGTTTTCTCCCCTCTCTTTTAAGGGCCCCAGTCTTTGCTTCTACTGACTCACTGTGACTACTAACATCCCTGAGCCAGGTGGATGGGGAAATAAAAAGCATTTTGATAGGAGAAAAGACATGTTGCTTATGTCATTAGGTGAATGATTCTTTAATAAAGAGGGAAGAGCCCCAAAAAATGGTATCAAAATTGTAAATTACCTTTTTAAAAAACTAAACATTAATAAACCCCCCTTAAAAAAAATGGCGATAAAGAGCCCCTGTTGACCAAGTCATCTTAAGATGGAGTTCAAGTTTTTGCAATGATTTTCAACAGAACAATGTAAGCTAATGACAATATATCTTTCAGTTATAATTTCCATTATAATTAGCATAGCTCCCAAGATTTTCTTTCCCAAATGGGAGAACCTAGATTAAGTAATCAAAGATTCATTCATTAAGCAAAGGAAAAGCAAGGATAAGTAAGGCATAAATTGCTATTCACACTGGATAAGAACGTGTTTAAAATAACAGTAAGAATGTACATAGTGTTATATAGGGATGGAGTTCTTGGTGATTTTATGTTCATTGTTTTATTATTTATGCTTATTATGTTTTGTCATTAATTCTTCAATAAATATTTTATTTTAAAAAATCACCCTATTTAGAAATCTTCTTTGAAGGTGAGAGGGAGGGGAAAATATGACCAAAGGCTGGGAGATACTAACTCTTGGAATCAACGATATCCCCCAGGGCCAAGTTGTGTAACTGTCAACCACCTCTGCTATCAGGCCTTGTTAAAGTCATGGCATTCCAGAAGGATTTATAGTTCTTTTCCTAAGAAAGGATCCATGACCTTTGCAATTATCATGACTTCATGAAAATCAGTGATGTCCAAGTTGAATCCAGTCAAAAACAGGGTGCCAGGGAGTCAGAGCTTAAATGGCTGTCCTAACCCGATCAAACCAAGTAAGTTGCTAGAGATTCAGAGGAGAGACTAAATGCAGATGATCATCCTTGTTCCTGTAATTCAGAAATTTTCTTTGTTGAAGTAGAATTGAACCTTTCTGGGATCCAGGCTGGAATATTGGCGACAGCATTTGCTCAGGCTCTTTGCCAAAGTCTGAGGACCGCATAGGAAGACTCCCACCACAGACCTGCGGGAATAGAACAATTGTAAGGGCTAGAATACAGCAAAAGCTTCTATGCTAGTGTGGATGGAGAACCTGCCTCTGCTAGGCCTCTACTGTTCCCAGCGACCTTGCATATTCAGCTGTTGACTCGCTCACATTCTTCATGGTAGTTTCCTTACCTATTCTGCTCTTAGGCCTTGTCCTCAGCTGCAAGCCTTGCCTATTCCATCAAGAACAGATACTCAGAAGATACGGTGCAATGTCGAGGTTTAAGTGCTAGACCCTTGAGCCCCACTATCTGGGTTGAAATAACCATCCCTGACACTTATCCCAGCGGTGTGACTTCAGGCAAGTTTCTTTTAACCTCAGATTTATTCCATGTAAGATGAGGATAAAAATAGTACCCACCTCACAGGGTTGTTTTGAGGTTTATTTTTTTAAGGTTTTATTTATTTGTTCATGAGAGACAGAGACATAGGCAGAGGCAGAAGCAGGCTCCCTGCAGGGAGCCTAATGCAGGACTCGATCCCAGGATCGAGGGGATCATGACCTGAGCCAAAGGCATCTAGATACTCAGCCATTGAGCCGCCCAGGTGACCATGCTTTGGGGTTTAAATGAAAAGCATATGTAAAGCAATTAGAAAAACGCCTGGCACATAGCAAGTGAATATGTGCTAGCCATCCATTGTGCATCTTTCCCCACTTCAAAATTCTCACACTGAGGAGGTGATGAGCCTTCTTGCCAAGAATAAGCTTTCTAACTGCACTCTCACCCTCACCTTCCCTCTCTCATACCTTCCTCTCCCCTTTTTGACTTGAGAAAGAATTCATGTGTCACAACATTCATCTTTTTAAAGTGTGCACTTAGTGCTTTTTTTAGAGAGAGTGCAGGCAGGGAGGGATGGAGGGAGGGAAAGAGAATCTTAAGCAGGCTCCATGCTCAGTGTGGAGCCTGACTTGGGGCTCAATCTCTGGACCCTGAGATCATGACCTGAGCCGAAATCAAGAGTCAGGCCCTAAACCTGCTGAGCCACCTGGGCACTGCTACAGTTAATAGCCACAAAGTTGTGCACCCATCACCCCTACCTAATCTGAGGACATTTTCATCATCCCCAAAAGAAACCCCATACACATTAGCAATCACTCCCCATGTCCTCCCAACCACCTCCTCCCAGCCCTAAACAATCAAATCTCCTTTTTCTCTCTAGATTTGCCTATTGTGAACATTTCATATAAATGGAATCATGTAATGTGTGGCCCTTTGCATCTGGTTCTTGTACTTAACGTGCTACTTTCAAGGTTTATCCATAGCACGTGTCAGTACTTCATTCCTTTTTTTTAAAGATTTATTTATTTATTCATGAGAGAGAGAGAGAGAGAGAGAGAGAGAGAGAGAGACAGGAGGAGGGAGAAGCAGGCTCCATGCCGGGAGCCCGACGCGGGACTCGATCCCGGGACTCCAGGATCACGCAGTGAGCTAAAGGCAGGCGCTAAACCACTGAGCCACCCAGGGATCCCCCTCATTACTTTTTAATAACAGGATAATATCCCACTGTATGGATATACTATATGTTGTTTATCCCTTCATTTGCTGATGGATGCTTATTTCTACTTTTTGGCTATTCTATATGCATTCATGTTCAAGGTTTTGGGTAGATAGCAAAGGCTGTTTTCAACCCCCCTGGGTACATACTTAGGAATGAAATTGCTGGGTCACATGGTAACTCCATGTTTATCATTTTGAGGAAATGTCAGAGTTCTTCCAAAATGCTGCACCATTTCACATTCTCACAAGCAATGTGGAGGAACTCTCCTACAATTTCTCCCCTTCCTTACCAACTCTTATTGCCACTCCTTCACTATGGTCAGCTCAACACAATAATTAGCATAATCTCTTTTGTTCAAATGCTGCTTTACTGTTTTTTTAAGATTTTATTTATTTATTTATTCATGAAAGAAAGATAGAGAGAGGCAGAGACATAGGCAGAGGGAGAGGCAGGCTCCCTGATGCAGGACTCATTCCCAGGACTCTGGGATCATGACCTGAGCCAAAGGCAAATGCTCAAACACTGAGCCATCCAGGTGTCCCCTGCTTTACTGTTTCCAGAGCATTTTTCATATATGTATTGCTTAACTGTTTATAACCATTTTTCAAGTGAGGAGAGAAGGCATTTACTAATATAATTCCCATTTTATAGATAAGAACTCAGAAAATCAGAGGACTTTCTAGCTCATGGTCTCAGAAATGGAGTGTCAGAACTAGCATTAGCACCCAGAATCATCTGAATCTAAGTGACTGAGTGTTCTCACCACTGCCTTCATGAACCTGCCCTGATCACCCCATGTGGACAAAGACTTTCCTTCCCTCCATGTCTATGTATCTGTTTCATGGAGTGCATCATTCTGTTTTGAATTGATTGTATGCATCACTTACTAAAATGTGTGCTCCTTGAGGGCAAGAACCATATCCTATTTCTCTTTCAACCTCCAAACCTTCTAGAATAGTGAATGCTGAGCTTATAGAAGGTAACCAATGTTTGTGGAATTGAATTGATCTTCAGCTGCCAACTTGTCCCAGGAACTTATCTAATGATCACCTTAATCTCCTTCCCATTGGAATGGCTGGTTTCGTGGCACCAGGTTTTCCTATACGCTCAAGCATGTCTCAAAGCTCTTCTGAAAGACTGAGTTCAGGTCATCAGTTAACTAGACAATATACTCCAAACCTTTCTTACTTGCAGTAGGAATTACTGAAGCCAGAAATGATACATTTGAATTTTTCCAATTTTCCATTTTATTTGGTAATGCTAATGGGAACTGAGTCTCCTTGCCTCACTGTTTGAATGGGGACTTGTAGAGACAGGAAACAACTCATCCATTACAAGGTCACCACCCTTATTTGGCTTAAATCTCAGATGAATTTTTTTTCAGCTGTACGCAAGAATCCGAGAATGGTGCAAATAGTTTCTGCCCCAGAGATCTTTTTCCCAGGATGCTGCGATATCTTTCCTAAACCTTAACTCTGAAAACTCAACTAACTAGAAGAGAATACACTTACCTGGGGTGGGCATTAGCTATTGTAGAAAATTCATTGTCCCACATGGGTCTCCCAAAGGAAGTTTTCTGTTTCAGACCTGTCAGGATGTCAGTGGCCTTGTCAAAGTTTAATGTGGCATGACTGGCCTGAAGTCAAAGAAATAAAAGTTAGAGAAAGCAGGTCCTGACAGCTACTCTTCCTTCAGCCACTTTTAAACTTGGGATAAGGATGAGGGCACTGGAAATAACTATTTCCAATCAGCATGCATGACCTTGTCTGACATTCATCTCACATCTAACATCAGAATTAATGTGTTGTTTGAACTTACAATATTGCTGTCCCATCCGGTGAGGAAGAGACGGTAGTTTAGAAAATCCACTTTGCCTAATTCCTCCATCTCACGTTCCAGAGAAGCCAGCAGGTCATTGAACCAGGCAAAGGCACCTGTCTCCCTGCAGATCCAGTAGAAATAGATCTGGAATCAGCAAGAGAGAACATAGCCTTATTAAGTGTCTTTAAGCTGTATGTTGTGGTGACATAATTATTATATATACTTTATATTTGTTGGTCAAGTCTACAGGTGACCTGAAAAATCAGATGTACAGAGTGGCATGAATGTCCAGAGTTCTTACAACCTCCCTTAAGGAAAAAGACTTCCAACATCCTTTGGTTCAAGGTAATTTTAAACTCCAAATTGAAAATGAAGGCCCCATTCTTATGATGAATCTGTAGAAATGGATGCCTTGGCAGAGAGTAGTGATCACTCACTCTCATAGCTCCAGGGATGGTTACTCTTTTATCAGTTGTAAAGAGCTTAAAGTCACAAAAGCAATGGATCTTTCAGGCCCAGACCAGATTAAAAGTAGCATAAGGGACTTACCGTTTGTGTTTTAAGGTTGTGATCTGCATGCCTAAATTTGTACCAGATAGATTTTAAGATGGAAGCAAAGGGGGTGACCCCAATTCCTGCTCCGACCAACACAACCACTTCATACTGGAAAACATCTTCACTGACAGTGCCAAAGGGACCATCCACCTCAATCCTGGCAACAGACAGAAGACAATAGGCAAGTGAAGTCTCACCTCCACCCCCAACCTCAAACATTCTCCCAGGACATAGCTGTTCCCATGGCTCCTTTAGTGCCTGTTTATTTTAATCATATTCTATTGCACCAGACATAAGGTTCAACAATGAATCACCTCTTGCAGAAGCCTCTGGGTCTCTGCTGCTCTCAGGGACCTACCTGGGAATTGGTGAACACTGCTGCTCAAAAGCCCTTATGAGCTTTTCTGTCCAGTCCCCCACTGCCCTGATATGAATGGAGAAGAAATCTTCCTCTGGAGCCGAGGTCAGAGTAAAGGGATGCCACTCCAAGTAAGAGACTGAGGGGCAATTAACAAAAATATACTGTCCCACTTCCATGCTGAAGCCACGCTTGTTCATCTGCAATTCCAAAACTTTGGATGGGTGCATAACAACCTATGAACGAAGCACAGAGGCCAAAGGAGGCAAATTCAAGTGGCAGGGGTGGGGGGTTGCTGGCGATGGTGGTGAACTGTGAGCAGAAGTCCTTTCTAAAGGGGGCAGAAGCTGTTAGCAACCAATTCAACTCTCTGAACCATCAGTGTGGGGGCCAACCAAAGCATGTCTGTGGGCTCACCCAGGCCACCTGTTTACAGCCTCTGACAAAGAACCATGCTGATGATTTCTGCCAAACTCTCTCCCCCCAAAGTTCTTTCCAGCACTGGAGGAACTAAAGTATGTTGCCCCTGATTCTTTTTTGTTCCCTTCAGGGCGACAACATGGCAATCTAGTCCTATAAGCAGGAAGAAAAGAACTCTTATCACAGCTAGATGAAACTGTATGTTCTCTTTTTTTAAACTTTTTTAAAAAGATTTATTTATTTATTTTAGCCAGGGGTGGGGGTGGAGCAGAGAGTCCCAAGCAGACTCTGTACTGAGCATGGAGCCTGACTTAGGGCTCCATCCCAAAACCCTGAGATAAGGACCTCAGCCAAAACCAGGAGTTGGACAATTAACTGACTGTACCACTCAGGTGCCCCAAGTACATATTCTTTTTTAAAGTTTTTTTTTAAGGGATGCTTGGGTGGCTCAATCAAGTGAGTGTCATCTTCAGCTTGGGTAATGATCTTGGAGTCCTGGCACTGAGCTCCACGTTGGGCTGCCTGCTCAGCAGGGAGCTTGATTCTCCCTCTCCCTCTGCTCCCCAGCTCCTGCTCTCTCGCTTGCTCTATCTCAAATGAATAAATAAAACCTTTTTTAAAAAAATAAAGTTTTTAAAAGTAATTCCTACACCCCTTTTGAGACTTGAACTCATGACCCCAAGATCAAGAGTCACACGCTCCTCCCACTGAGCCAGCCAGGCACCCCAGAAAGAGCATATTCTTTACCTTGGTAATCACAACCTTCTGCTGCGAGCGGTAAAATCGGAGAATCCTTTCAAGAATACAAAGAACGCCTGGTGCAAGGATCCACTTCCAAGACTGCAAAGAAAGAATAAAGTATGTTCTCATTCATTTGGGGAATATGAATAATAGTGAAGGGGAATATAAGGGAAGGGAGAAGAAATGTGTGGGAAATATCAGAAAGGGAGACAGAACATAAAGACTCCTAACTCTGGGAAATGAACTAGGGGTGGTGGAAGGGGAGGAGGGCGGGGGGTGGGGGTGAATGGGTGATGGGCACGGAGGGGGACACTTGACGGGATGAGCACTGGGTGTTATTCTGTATGTTGGTAAATTGAACACCAATAAAAATTAATTTATTAAAAAAAAGAATGAGGTTACATGTTAATCTCTTATTGAGGATTCATATGTGTTGCAGTTCGTTTCTTCATTCAATAATATTTATCGAGGGCAGCCCGAGGGGCTCAGCAGTTTAGCGCTGCCTTCAGCCCAGGGTGTGATCCTGGAGACCCCAGATCAAGTCCCATGTTGGGCTCCCTGCATGGAGCTTGCTTCTCCCTCTGCCTGTGTCTCTGCCTCTGTGTGTGTGTGTGTGTGTGTGTGTGATGAATAAAAATAAAATCTTTTTTAAAATACTAATATTAATACTACTAATAATAATCAAGTTCTCTGATATGTATCATCATTAAGCCACTAATTTCACCAAATCTTGAGGATGGAAATGGAAAGGAATAAATTACAATGGTTTTGTTTGCTAATCTGTTACTCATAAAGCAGATCATTTCCTGAAGTTTTACAAGTCTTACCAGGAAGCAAAAGTACAGAAATAAAATATGTGGTAATTATACATATAATGCATATTATTCTTAATTCTTTTTTTTATTTATGATAGAGAGAGAGAGAGAGAGAGGCAGAGACAGAAGCAGGCTCCATGCACCGGGAGCCTGACGTGGGATTCGATCCCGGGTCTCCAGGATCGCGCCCTGAGCCAAAGGCAGGCGCTAAACCACTGCACCACCCAGGGATCCCATATTATTCTTAATTCTTAAATTATATATACATTTCAATTTTAAGACTCCAAGACAGTCTTCCAGGACAATTTGTCCAATCTGAAAAACCAACAGAGAAGATAGACATGACATAGAAGCAGATGATTAAAAACAAAACAAACTAACAAAGAAGGGAAAGTGTGAGTGGCTGATACTATTGGTAACAATCTATAAGACTTGGCATTTATTTATACATCACTTCTTTTCTCAGGTGCTCAAAACACCTAACATAGTAATACACTTTTTATCTTTTCTACATTTTTTAAAGCAGCATTTCTATCCTGAGATCCTCTCAAAGGTAGCAGATTGCTTCCATATGCACAGGAGCTACTAAAAATGTATTTCCTAGCAATGCTAAGTCATGTCCTTTTTTGCACAATTGCTTCAGTGTGACACATCGGAGCTGTATAGAATGAGGTCTTCAATGCCATTTCAGGCAAACAACTTCTTGGGTATCTCCAGGGAGGAAAGGGGCAGAGATGGGGCAGGTGAACTTGACAGTGAGAATTATACAATTTGATGCTACTCCTTATTTGGGAAAAATTCCCCATGTCTTCAGATAAAAACATACATATATATATATATATATGTTTTTAATGATATATGATATATATATTTAATGATATATACACACACATACACATATGAATGGCCAATAACAATGTGGTAAAAACTTTTGACCTCAGAAGTAATAAGAGAAACTAATATTAAACCAAAATAGCATTTTAACCTCTCAGATTAGAAAACAACATTAAACAATAATGCCCACCATTAACTGGGATGCAGAGAGATGGGCACACTCATATGTGCAGCCAATAGAGGGACAAATTAGTAGCATCTTCCCAGAGAGCAATTTGACAATACATCCCAACAGCCTTGAAAGCATTCCTTCTGTTTGACCCAGAAATTTCACTTCTAGTAAATAGACCATGAAGATATAATTAAGGCATGCCCAAAGTATACAATATAGGAATGGCCATATCATTTACTAAGAAAAAATGACAAAAATGATAAACTACACAGATTTTTTTTGCCAATACCCAACTGTCTTTTTTAATTTTTATTTTTATTTATTTTTCTGTATTGAGATATAATTGACATATATCATTATATTAGTTTCAGGTGCACACCATAATGATTCAACATTTGTATATGTTGCAAAATGATCACAATAAGTATAGCTAATATCTGTCACCATACATCATTGCAAAAATTTTTTTCTTGTGCTGAGAACTTTTAATATCTACTCTCAGCAAATTTCAAATATACAATATAGTATTATTAACTATAGTAACCATGCTATACACAACATACCCATGACTTATTTATCTTATAACTGGAAGTTTGTACCTTTTGACCACCTTCACCCATTTTGCCCACTCTCCCACCCCCTGCCTCTGGAAACCACCAATCGGTTTTCTGTTGCTATGAGCTACATTCATTAAAGTAAGATTCCACATATAGTGCAATCATACAGTATTTGTCTTTTTCGGTCTGACTTATTTCACTTTGCATAAAGCCATCAAGGTCATTAAAAATGATCATGTAAAAAAATTGACAAAAATGGTATACCATAGAGCTTTTTAAAAAACAAATGTCTCGGGGCAGCCTGGGTGGCTCAGCGGTTTAGCACCGCCTTTGGCTCAGGGCGTGATCCTGGAGACCTGGGAACTGAGTCCCACATCGGGCTCCTTGCATGGGGTTTGCTTCTCTTTACACCTGTCTCTCTCTCTCCCTCTCTCTCTCTCTCTCTCTCTTGAATAAATAAATAAATAAATAATCTTTTTTTGGTATTTTTATTGGAGTTTGATTTGCCAACATATAGGCATATCACCCAGTGCTCATCCCATCAAGTGCCCCCCTTAGTGCCCATCACCCAGTCACCCCGTCACCCTGCCCACCTCCCCTTCCACTACCCCTTGTTCATTTCCCAGAGTTAGGAGTCTCTCTCATGTTCTGTCTCCCTTTCTGATATTTCCCACTCATTTTCTCTCCTTTCCCCTTTATTCCCTTTCACTATTTTTTATATTCCCCTAATGAATGAGACCATATAATGTTTGTCCTTCTCCGATTGACTTACTTCACTCAGCATAATACCCTCCACTTCCATCCATGTTGAAGCAAATGGTGGGTATTTGTCATTTCTAATGGCTGAGTAATATTCCATTGTATACATAGACCACATCTTTTTTTTAAGATTTTATTTATTTATTAATGAGAGAGAGAGGCAAAGACAAAGGCAGAGGGAGAAGCAGGCTCCATGCAGGAAGCCTGACATGGGACTTGATCCCAGGTCTCCAGGATCAGGCCCTGGGCCAAAGGTGGCGCTCACCCCCTGAGCCACCCGGGCCCATCTTCTTTGTCCATTCATCTTTCGATGGACACTGGGGCTCCTTCCACAGTTTGGCTATTGTGGACATGGCTGCTATAAACATCGGGGTGCAGGTGCCCTGCCATTTCACTGCATTGGTATCTTTGGGGTAAATCCCCAGCAGGGCAATTGCTGGGTTGTAGGGCAGATCTATTTTTAACTCTTTGAGGAACCTCCACACAGTTTCCAGAGGGGCTGCACCAGTTCACATTCCCACCAACAGTGCAGGAGGGTTCCCCTTTCTCCACATCCTCTCCAACATTTGTGGTTTCCTGCCTTGTTAATTTTCCCCATTCTCACTGGTGTGAGGTGGTATCTCATGGTGGTTTTGATTTGTATTTCCCTGATGGCAAGTGATGCAAAACATTTTCAAATGTGCTTGTTGGCCATGTCTATGTCTTCCTCTGTGAAATTTCTGTTCATGTCTTCTGCCCATTTCATGATTGGATTGTTTTTCTTTGCTATTGAATTTAATAAGTTCTTTATAGATCTTGGATGCTAGCCCTTTATCTGATAGGTCATTTGCAAATATCTTCTCCCATTCTGTAGGTTGCCTTTTAGTTTTGTTGACTGTCTCTTTTGCTGTGCAGAAGCTTTTTATCTTGTTTAAGTCCCAATAGCTCATTTTTGCTTTTGTTTCCCTTGCCTTCATAGATGTATCTTGCAAGAAGTTGCTGTGGCCAAGTTCAAAAAAGGTGCTGCCTGTGTTCTCCTCTAGGATTTTGATGGATTCTTGTCTCACATTTAGATCTTTCATCCATATCAGGCTCCCTGCATGGGGCTCACTTCTTTCTCTGCCTGTGTCTCTGCCTCTCTTTTTCTCTCTCTCTGTGTCTCTCATGAATAAATAAATAAATAATCTTTTAAAATGTTTCAATGAAGCAGCAGAAAGATAATAAAGAAACATCAGGGATGCCTGTGTGGCTCAGCTGCTAAGCTTCTGCCTTTGGCTCAAGGTGTGATTCTGGAGTCCCAGGATCGAGTCCCACATCGGGCTCCTTGCATGGAGCCTGCTTCTCCCTCTGCCTGTGTCTCTGCCTCTCTCTCTCTCTCTCTCTCTCTCTCTCTCTCTCTCTCTCTCTGGGCCTCTCATGAATAAATAAAGTCTTTATAAAAAAGAAAGAAACATCACTTACTATTACACCAAAAATAATAAAATACTTAAGAATAAAGTTAACCAAAGAAGTGAATGACCTGTACTCTGAAAACCATAAAGCACTGATGAAAGAAATTGAAGACAACACAAAGAAATGGAAAGACATTCCATGCTCATGGATTGGAAGACAAATACTGTTAAAATGTGCATATTCCCCATAGAAATCTACAGATTTAATGCCCTAATCAAAATACCAACAGCATTTTTCACAGAACTTGAACAAACAATCCTAAAATTTACATGGAACCAGAGAAGATCCTGAATACCCAAAGCAATTTTGATAAAGAAAAACAAAATTGGAGGTATCACAATTCCAGACTTCAAGTTGTATTACAAAGCTGTAGTAATCAAAACAGTATGGTACTGGCAGAAAAATAGACACGTAGATCAATGGAACAGAATTTTAAAACCCAGAAATAAACCCACAACTGTATCATCAATTAATTTTCAACCAGGGAATAAAGAATATCCAATGGAAAAAGTATCTTCAACAAATGGTGTTGGGAAAAACTGGACAATAACATGGAAAAGAATGAATCTAGACCACTTTCTTATACTGTCCACAGAAATAAACTAAAAAAATGGATTAAAGACCTAAAAGGAACCATACAAATCCTAGAATAGAGCACAGGCAGTAATTTCTCTGACATCAGCTATAGCAACATTTCTCTCGGTATGTCTTCTGAGGTAAGGGAAATAAAAGTAAAAATAAACTAATGGGACTACATCAAAATAAAACACTTCTGCACAGCAAAGGAAACAATCATCAAAACTAAAAGGCAACCTTCAGAATGGGAAAAGATATTTGCAAATGACATATCTGATGAAGGGTTAGTATCCAAAGTATATTAATAACTCACCAAACTCAACACCCAAAAACCAAACAATCCAGTCAAAAAATGGGCAGAAGACATGAATAGATATTTTTCTAAAGAAGACACACAGATGTCTAACAGACACATGAAAAGATGCTCAACATCACTCCTCATCAGGGAACTGCAAATCAAAACTACAATGAGGAGAGGTCGGAAGCAGCCAGCTTCCGCCAGCTTCTGGCTGTGTCGTGTGGCCATGGTAAGGGGAACCGCATGGCCTAAGGTGGGGACCAGGACCCAGGGTGATGTCTGCAGCACCTATCTCTCACTTCTCTGGAGCTGTTAGTGAGGTTTAGAAACAGAATTCGGAGATGATGGTGGCAGCTACAGGAAGAGCTGTGGCCTCAGACTGCCAGGTATAGCCAGTATATGTGGAATGCGAGTGCATTCAGAATATCCTCACCACGCAGCACAGAAGCCAACAGCTATTCCAGTGCATGAAATATCCAGAATTCCAGACCTTTCATGAGCAAAATTATTCTACTTGTTATAAGAATGAGAAAAGATTGAGAAGAATCTAAAGGAGAGTCGAAGAAAATGTGGAAGTGGAAGCTGAATAAACAGAAATCATAGTGAATTGGCAAGAGCTGTGAAGTGTTGGACTAAATCCATCAACAAGGGTCAATGCAACATTATATGAGGGACTAGAAGGGAGAGACAGTGGACTGGAGAAAGTGGTGACAATGGACATTGATGATAACATGATCCAATAGAAATCTGAGAAAAGAAGAATAAACAGCCAAATAGAAACCATTGGGAAAGTCCGATTCAATACTGAAACTGATCCTGAAACAAGCCATGGACAGAGTTTTACTAAGGAGGGTGGAGACAGATCTACAGTGATCTGGAAATTTACTAAATACAGAAGATCCTGAATATTCCAAGTCAGGAAAAAAAACCCTACAATGAGATATCCCCTTAGACCAGTTAAAATGGCTAAAATTAACAATACAAGAAATAACAGGTGTTGGCATGGATGCAGAGGAAGGGGAGCCCGCTTACACTGTTGGTGGGGATGCAAACTGGTACAGCCACTCTGGAAAGCAGTATGGAGGGTCCTCAAAAAGTCAAAAATAGAACTACCCTATGATCCAGCAATTACACTATTAGGTATTTATTCAAAGGATACAGAAATACTAATTCAAAGGAATACATGCATCCCAATGTTTATAGCAGCATTATCCACAATAGCCAAATTAAGGAAAAAGCCCAAATGTCCATCGACTGTTGAATGGATAAAGAAGAGGTAGTATAATGGAATATTACTCAGCCATAAAAAAGAATGAAATCTTGCCTTTTGCAAGACGTGGATGGAGCAAGGGAGCATTACACTGAGGGAAATAAGTCAGTCTGAAAAACACAAATACCATATGTTTTTATTCATATGTAAAATTTAAAAAACAAAACAAATGAGCATAGGGAAAAGAGAGAGAGGCAAAAACCAAGAAACAGACTTAACTACAGAGAACAAACTGATGGTTATCAGAGGGGAGCTGGGTGAGGAGGATGAGTGACATAGGTGATAGGGATTAAGGAGTGCACTTGTGATGAGCACCGAGTGTTGTATGGAAGCATTGAATCACTAAATTGCACACCTGAAGCTAGTATTACACTGTATGTTAACTAACTGAAATGTAAATAAAAACTAAAAATTTATATATAATAAATTTTAATATATATTTATTCAAATTTATTTTACTTTCTTTTCTGGCTTTAAGGTCTTTTTAAATCTTATTAAGGAAATATTTTTGTTACTCCTCCAATATTAGAAAAAAATTTCTCATGTGGTGTTATGAGGCTTTTATGATTTTTTTCCTTTCTTTAACACTTAAATCCTTGATCCATGCAATCTAGATTCATATTTTAGTGTAAAGTGTGGAATCAAGATTCAGCTTTTCTTCCTGGGTGTATAACCTATTATCCTAAAAAAAATATTTAATGATATATATTTTTTTCCCAACTGATTTGAAATGCCAACTTTAGGGGATTTTTAAAGATATTGTTCTCATTTTAGATGAGGATCAAGCTATAGCTCTTAATTCTGCAACTGATTTAAGACTAATCACCCTCAGAGCACTTTGAGACACCACAAGTCAACCTTCCCTTTCCATTTATACCTCCAACCTAACATATTTTACGAGCACGCAAAGGTAAATCATGATATCCATAATAATCATCCCAAGGCACACCTTAAGTTCCCTGGAACCCAGTTTCTTGACTGTCCACTATTTAATAATAATTTCCAAGCATGTTCTTATAACACCAAAGAAAGCTGATTTCGAGAATGCTTTAAAAAAAAAAAAGTCGAACTGGGATCCCTGGGTGGCTCAGCAGTTTGGCGCCTGCCTTTGGCCCAGGGCGCGATCCTGGAGTCCCGGGATCGAGTCCCTGTCGGGCTCCCAGCAAGGAGCCTGCTTCTCCCTCCTCCTGTGTCTCTGCCCCTCTCTCTCTCTCTCTCTCTCTCTCTCTGTCTATCATAAATAAATAAATAAATAAATAAATAAATAAATAAATAAATAAATCTTAAAAAAAAAAAGTTGAACTCATATAGAAACAGACTAGAAAGGTGGGTAACCAGAGCCTAAGACTGGAGGTGGGGGAGTGATGGAAAAATGCTGGTCAAAATGTATGTGCCTTCAGTCATAAGATGAATAAGCTCTGAAGATCTAATGTAAAGCATGGTGACTGCAGATGATAATACTATAGCATACCTGAAATTTGCTAAAAGAGTAGATCTTAAGTATTCTCACCACACATGCAAAATGGTAACCATGTGAGGTGATGGATGTGTTAATTAATCTCATGGTGATCATTTCACAAGGCATGCATGTGTCACTCACCACATTGTACACTTAAAATATATACAATTTTGTCAATTGTACTTCAATAAAGCTGGGGGGGAGAATGCTTTTTTTTAAAAAAGATTTTATTTATTTATTCATGAGACACACACACACACACAGAGGCAGTGCACAGGCAGAGGGAGAAGCAGGCTCCATGCAGGGAACCCGACATGGGACTCGATCTCAGGTCCCCAGGATCAGGCAGGCCCTGGGCTGACAGCGGCGCCAAACCACTGAGCCACTCGGACTGCTCAAAAGAATGCTTTTCTTCCCCTCAAGAAAAGTGACTGGATTTCAGAGCTAAGCTTTGGTACAGTAGTACAGTAGTCAAGAGCACAGTCTTTGGAATCTGCAAAGCCTGAGCTTGATTTTCAGTTCCACTAGTTACTTACTGTGACAGCTTGACAATTTAATCGCTTTGAATCTTAGTCCTATTGTCTCACAATGGAGACAAAAAAAAAACCTACCTCTTAGATTATTGCTACGTATAAATGAGATAATCCATATTACACAGAAAACCTGTCCCATGGTAGACACTATAATAATGGGAGATATCATTATCACCTTTGAAGAGGGTCTCACAACATGCAATAACCATCAGTCCTTCCTCTACAGGATCTCCTGCTAATGGTAATTCCCTAGTCAGTGACACTGGAGTTCCTTGATGGTAGGAGACTTGTAGCAATATCCTCCACAGGACTCAGCACAGTAACAATAATAAGAGTAATAATAACAACAATAACAACTTCTAACAAAAGTTTATCCTTGTCTGTGGGGTTCTTACCTCAGCGGGGAGCCCTTCAAATCGGGGATGCTTGCAATGGGAGTCATGATCATCCCACTGCTTGAAAGATTCTGCACACCTGTGAGGGTGACTCTCATTCAGGCTCTCTTCGGTCTGACCCCGGACAATTCCACTGAAACAAACAAAGAAGGACAGTTTGGACAAAGAATTATGCAAGGTCAGGGCTGCAGCATGAGAATGAGTGTTTGAGGACCTTACCCAATGCCGTGAATCCCTAAGCCAATGAAGTAGATGATAAAAATATGGTGTGTATACCAGAAGACCTCAAAATAACTCCTCCGGATAAACTCCATAGCTGAAGTCACCATGAGAACCAAAGCTATCGTGATGATCACTCCAGTGAGACCAGCAATGCTGGTAAATGTCACGTACTCCACTGTCTATGAAATGAGAAATTTCAGCCTGACACAATGTGTGCCAATCATATCATGCCCTTCCTACTCATGGCCAGATCCCAGATGCTTCGCCATTGAGTCAACTCACCATGTTGGGGGACTGCATAGGATTTAGCCAAGAATCTTCCTCTTTCCCTTGATGAGACAGGGTGGAGAGAATGGAAGCAAGGGATCCATCTGTGGCCTGTCGGCTTCTGCTATACTGTTCAAAGTTAAACAGGTGTGCAATGATGTGAATAGCTAAATGGAAAGATGAAGAGGAATTGAAAGGTGTCTCAGAAGCATCATTGTAGCATGTCCCCAGTAGCAAAGGAGAATTCTATGTATAATGCCTAGCAGAATTCTGAGTCCACCGAAGGTGCCCGATAAATCTTGATTACAGTGAGAACCAAGATCTTTCCTATTCTCATTCTGTTCCCCCAAATAATCAAATGTAAGTTCTACGAAAATAGGCCTACAATAGTGCCTGACAAATAGTGCCAGGTGTTCAATACATACTGTTTGAATGTCTAAATGCAGAGATGAATGAAACTACACTCTGAATGCCCACAAGCTTGCGGTTTTGTGGTTTGCCTCAGTCACCTGTGTGTAGGCAGATCATATATGCTACCAGTTTGTGGAAGGTGAGGTTGTGATCCAGTTGCTTTCTCAGGGTGCGCCTGCAAAACTACAAATGGAAAGTGATCAAGGTCACGTGTCTCTGGGCAGATTATAAAATTCAGTAACATGTCCTAAACAAAGCATACCAATACCCACCCACGCTTGCCTACCCCCTTGGCTACCAAAGGAGACCCCTGACTTCCATTCCTAAGGGTTTGAAAGTATCGGGTTATCCTACTGTGGAGGAGTTCAGGGTCTCTTGTCTTTAATGTGAAAGTTGACCTAGGAGTAGTTGGGACTCACAGAGCAGGTACCCCTCAGGAAGGACAGTAGATTTCGACACACAGGAAGCAGTATCAGCATGCTGTTAAAATTCAGGCAGCGAGCAGAGGCTCGGGCCCAGGCCAATGTTGACTAGAAGAGATGAGAGAAGAGACCATCAGGCTGCTTCATCTCATCATCTAGTAGGTGAGCACAGCCCAGTCCACTTGTCTGAGACCTGGAGATGGGCAGGGTGGCATCTTCCTCACCCTTTTTTCAGTAGCCAGCACACTTGGTCCAGGCTCTCTGCTTTGCAAAATGACAAAAGATTTGCTGAACTTAATAGCAAATTGAGAAATTCTCATGACAAGTGGCTTGGAAATATTTGACTATACATCTAACAATACGAAAAAGAACAGGATTTAATAATTTCACGTTAACAAATACATCCCATGATGGATACTTTGCAACAAGTATCTTTGCTTAATACACTCAATTGTTGGAGCACCTGAATGGCTCAGTTGGTCAAGCATCTGCCTTCGGCTCAGGTCATGATCCCAGGATCTTGGGATCAAGCCCCGAGTCGGGCTCCCTGCTCATTGAGGAGTCAGTTTCTCCCTCTCCTTCTGCCCCTTCCCCCTGCTCATGTTCTCTCTCTTGCTGTGTCCCTCTCAAATAAATAAAATCCTTAAAAAATACACCCATTTATTATTTTATTGTTTGTCATTTGTAAAACAATCTTGAAGATTATATATGTTCTTATTTGCATTTTAAATAAAGCTTAGATATTTAGAGGTATAATTACAGATGGTGACTATTCCCTCTTCTGTATTTTCTAATGTTGCAATTATAGGCATGTCATAATCATCCAAATGAACAATAAAAAATTTAACCATTTATATTTGAGATGTCTTTAATAGGGACACCTGGGTGGCTCAGTGGTTGAGCATGTCTTTGGCTCAGGGCATGATCCTAGGATACTGGGATCGAGTCCAGCATCAGGCTCCCCACAGGGACCCTGCTTCTCTGCCTATGTCTCTGCCTGTCTCTCCATGTCTCTTGTGAATAAATAAATAAATAAAATATTTTTAAAATGTCTTTAATAAATGAATACAGCTTAGGCAAGACTAATGAACCCCTCAGAGCAAACATTTTAAACTTAGGTAAAGATCTGAGAAAAGAGAACTTCTGAGAACAGAATTTCAAACTGGTTTCCTTGGGTGGCCAGACAGCATACATCAAGATCAATCTGACCCAGCAGTAGAAGCTGCCAGAAAAGGACACAAAGAATGAGTGCTTCAAAGAAGTATCTAGTGCCAAAACAGGCTTGATTAGGTATAGGCTGGACAGAACAATGCTCAATCCCATGGTAGTCAAATCCAGCTTCTCTACTTGTGCAACTGGTCTCTGAGTCAGCTCCATGTACTTGGGACTGCAAGTTACAGAGGGCAACAATCTCACATCAGCAGCAGAAGTGGTGGCAGCAGTCAGACAATTTGTGTCTCACTTTAGCTGATTGGCCAGACTTACCTGTGTGCCAATCAGCAACTCGAAGAAAGGAAGAACATGGGTTAGAGTTCACAATCTCTCCTTCCCCCCACCCCCAACTCTCCTTTTCTTCTTCTTTTCCTCCCTGTTTCTAAAAATCTCTCCAGCACGAAAATTATTTTTCCATATGACACCTAAACCCAGGGCAATGTGACATCAAGCCAAGTCGAAATCTGCCTAACATCCCTAATGGCTCACAGTGTTAAGCAGTGTAGCGAACAGAAGCTGCCCTACTGTTTTCCATTTCTGGCTCTTCCATATGACCTGTATTTTCTCCCTCTGCTGAGTCACGCTCCGACTGTTTTTGAAAGAGACATTCTGTTCCATTTCTGAGTAAATTTTCTCTGCTCATCTCAAAAATCCTGCATTTCCACACTGGTGTGCACAGCGTGCTGACTTGAGACACAGAGGTTTCTTAAAGCTAAAATCGGCAAGTGAATGGAAGAGATAGGACTACAATTTCACAGTTCCATATTCTGTAGGGGCTATCTCTATGGGGATAAATTCTTTTTAGAAGACATCTTTTTTCCCCATTGCAGCACATTGAAATATCCCAATTTATGTGCACTTTTCAATATCAACCCTACCTGATGTTCAAATTCAACTGCTGCTGTCATTAATGTCTCGCTGACTATGAATTTAAATTGCTTCTTCTATTATTTATTTGCTCTGCTTCATGGTGAATCAAATAACTCTCTGTATTTTCCTAGAGGAAGCACAAATTTAAGAAATAACTACAAATGATTAAACAAATTATGGCCCATCAATGCCATGGACTGTTAGGTGCTTAAAAGGATGAAAGCTATATATGCAGTGGAGTAGGAGTGGTAAATGTTTAACAACCAGCTTTCAGGGAAGAGGGGAAGTCTTGATTTCCAGCATTTGTCAATTTACATGATGTAAAGACTCCCACCTCGGCAGATTTCAAGATACCAATTGGATGTCATTGAACACCATTAAATATAGGGGTGGGAAGAGATGCACATAATTGGCTATTGCAAGCTGGCAATAGTTCCAGCATATCACTAGTTACATAGTCACATGGAAAGATATCTGAAATATAAGAAGCAACTTCCAGCCAATATCTATGATGTGATTCCTTTTTCAATTAAAACAAAAAACTCTTTGCTACTGTATGTGTCTATCCAAACTCATAGAATGATACACCAAAAAAAAGAGCAAATTTTACTGCATACAGGAAATATAAAAGTGAATAAAAATAGTACCTACCTCAAAACAAAACCTGTATGTCTGATACATTTGTGAGCTTATGCCAGAGCATCTAAAGAGACACACACCCCAGAATTATTTTTTTAAGATTTATTTATTTATTTATTTATTTATTTATTTATTTATTTATGAGAGACACACAGAGAGAGGCAGAGACATAGGCAGAGGGACAAGCAGGCTCCCTGTGGGGATCCTGATATGGGACTCAATCCCAGGACCCTGGGATCACAATCTGAGCCAAAGGCAGATGCTCAACCACTGAGCCACCCAGGTGCCCCCCTGCCAAAATTATTAACAGTGGTTATCTCTGGGGAATGGGATGGGAGGGCAATTTTCACATTTTAGTTATACACTTCTGTATCATTTGATGTCACTGAAAGCATTATTTATAATTAATTTTTTAATAGAGAGGATTTTTTTTTAAAAAATGAAATGAACAAGATGTCCACAGGATATCAGCATGATTCATTTTTCTGCTGCTGACTTTTTTGGTCATAAATAAATTAAGCTCTTAATAACTAGTCACATTTATTGCATCATTCTCTTACTAAAAAGCTTTTTAAAAATAAATTAACACTTCCTTTGGAGTTATAGTTTCCAAAGAGGGATCAAGGACCAACATTTAAAATGGAAAACAGCAGGGTGAAATAAGCCATGAACAGAACATTCAAATTAGTTGTGATCTCAACATGGATCTTTTGATTTGATTTTATTTTTTTGGATCTTTTGATTTTAGAGAGAAAAGGATTTTTTTAAAAGGACAAGCTGTCTTTAAACATGTACACTGGATGGGTCTTTGTGGAAATCCAATGATCTAGTCAAGGTGAAAGTGATTTAACCAAATCCCTTACCTGTTACTGAAAAACTCACTAGAGTTAACAGTCAGTTTTGCTTTTCTAGTTGGATAGTGTCCAGATTGATGAGCCTGTGAGATGATCATTTTCACCTCCATGCTTCTTCCTGGTCATCACCAATGTCCCCTATCCACCTCCCCCCACCCTCCCTCTTCTGTTCTTTATCTATCTCTTCTACAGCCTTTTCCATCCTGTTATCTTCACCTGACCCCTGCTTTTCTTCAGCCCTTGAGTTCTGCAGTGCCACTCACCCCACAGACCCCCTAAATCTCCCTCTTGTTTGATAGAGAGGTATTATTCTGTGAGAGCAGTCTACAGCAGTGGTTTTCAAGTTGTTTACTTGCTTTAAACCAAACCCTTTCTGGAAATCATAAGCAAGAGTCCATAAGACAGGTAAAGGCTGCTTTGGTTGAAGTAGGGGCAGGGGCACTGTTAGCTTAACTGCAAAGTTAGCTTTCCCCTCACACTCTATAGGAGTACTTGGGTCATTTGAAAATGACTGCTTAGGGGTGCCTGGATGGCTCAGTCAGTTGGGTGTCTGCCTTCAGCTCAGAACGTGGACCCATGGTCCTGGGATCAAGCTCCACATAGGGCTCCCTGCTCAGCATGGGGAGCCTGCTTCTCCCTCTCCCACTCCCCCTGCTCATTCTCTCTCTGGCAAATAAAATCTTTTTTAAAAAAAGAAAAGAAAATGACTGCTTAATAATTTTCTTTATTGTGTGTTTTTATTATTGGGTCTGGGGAGTACACCCTAGATAGGGCTGTCAGATTCAGTGAACAAAAATACTGGATGTCCAGATAAATTTGAACTTCAGATTTTAAAAATCAAATAATTTTTTAGCATATCTATGTCCCGTGCAATATTGAAAATATACCAAAAAATGATTTATTTTTCTGGAAATAAAATTTAACTGGGGGGGGACGGGTGCCTGGGTGTCTCAGTCTGCCTTCAGCTCAGGTCATGATCCTAGAGTCCCGGGATTGAGCCCCACGTCAGGCTCCCTACTTTGTGGGGAGTCTACTTCTCTCTCTCCCTCTGTTCCTCTCTGCACCCCCCTCCCCACTCATGCTCTCTCTCTTTCACTCACTCACTCACTCTCTCAAATAAAGTCTTTAAAAAAATTTAACTGGGCATCCTGTATTTTCTTTTTCTGGGAACCCCAGCCCTAGAGGAAATCAGGGCATTGGGTCTCAAAGGAGCCAAGGTTGCAAATAACAAACAAAAACAAAAACAACAGAGGTTCTCCATATCACCACAACTGTGATACTCACCCCCAGGATTTCTCTGGTATAGTAGTACTTATCAGCTTTCTCATATGACAGGAAGGCATGTACAAACAGGAAAACATTCAGCCCCAACCAAGTAGCCTAGAGGAAGAAAAAAACAAGCAAAGAATCAAGAAGAATTTGGGTATGGAAATGAATAGGTAAGGGATAGGAAATAGTGTCACCATTTTGGCTATTTTGTATCTATCTGTTTTCATTTTAAATGAATACAATCCATCTAGCATCTAACTTATTTTCAGAAAGAGTTAACACTTAAGAAATGCATTAGACCCTAGCAATCACAGTCAGCAAATCAAGGCCTGTGGGCCAAATCCAGCTCACCACTTGCTTTATACAGCCTACAAATTAGGAATGGTTTTCATTTTTTTGTTTTCACATGTTTAAATGGTTGGAAAAATCAAAAGAAGAATAATATTTCATGACATGAAAATTACATAAAATCCTAATTTCAGAATCCATAAATACAGTGGTATTGGAACTTAACCATACCTTCTTATTTTTATATTGTTTATGGCTGCCTTCGTAATTCAATGGAAGCATTGAGTAGCTGTGACAGAAACTATATGGCCTCCAAAGCCTAAAATATGTACTACCTAGCCCTTTACAGAAAAGATTTGCCAACTCTGGTCTGGGAGCATTTGAACTATTGTGGCTAAAAGATAGCAATAAGTGAATAAATGGATTTCTAAAGAAACAAGGAATAAATTTAACATCTGTAACAATACCCATCTGAAAAGGACTAAACCGTTCCAGATGGGCCTGCCTCTTTAATTACGCCCTGACACACATTTTCTTGTTTTTAGATTGTGAGTCTCCTTTCAAATTAACCTATCATTGCTCTGGACTCAGTTGAGCTCTTAAGTCTGCTTTTGTCTATCCCAAGCTCTGTCTCTGCATTGGCAAAGGGGGAATTTGGAACCTACTGCCCCATTGCCTTGGAGACCAACTAATGTGGCTCTAGCTCAAGCTTTGAGGCTCCAGTTTGTTGTTGTTTTAAGAGTCTATTTGTTTATTAGAAAGAGAGAGTGTCTGTGAGCACAAGCAGGGGGAGCAGCAGGCAGAGGGAGAGGGAGAAGCAGACTCCCTGAAGAGCAGGGAGCCCCAACTCAGGCTGGATCCCAGGCCCTGAGATCATGACCTGAGCCAATGGCAGACTAAACCACCCAGGTGCCACGAGGTGCTAGTGTGTAACTGAGCAGGACTGTAGGTCACTAGGATGCCCCTAATATATATTGTTGGCCCCAGGATGGATCAGAACCATCTTAACCCCACAAGTAGAGGGCCTTTAGCCTAGGACAGGGCCCATTCAGATTCCCTAGATCTGGACCACTCACACACCTCCAGTAGCATAGCATAATGATTTAAAGTGATACTGGAGTCAAACTCCTTGGGCTAAAGTTCTAGCTTCACTGCTTTCTAGCTCTGTAATCTCAGACAGACATGTGATTTAATTTCTCTGAGCCTTAGTTTCTTCTATACAGTGAGGATAATAACGATATCTAACTCATAGCAATGCTGTGGGCTTATGTGAAATGATGCATGTGGAGTGATTAACCATGGTTGGTGCATACTGGGAGCTCAATAAATTCTAATTATAGACTTGTGTCATTACCAGGTTGGCTTTACTAACCAATTTCTTCCTGCATTCTTTGCTCAGACACTATTTCCAGAGTTGAGTGTCTTTCAGAGATCCTTTGATCCTAATAGGAGAGGTGAAAGCCACAGACACCTCAAGAGTTCAGAAGACTGAGTTTTTTTAGAGAAAGCCGAAATATTTCAGGCTCCGAGAGTTCTTTGCCCCCATGGCAGACCATCACCAACTGTAGGCAAGGTGAATACAGTGACATCTGGAAGTAAGGAATTGCATTTCCCACCCTCACTCTCATTTCCTTCCATCACGGGTGGAAAGTGAAGTGGAAGCCCAGGCAAAAGGAGGAGTTGGAATGTTTTTTGGAATAATCTCTCTTTGCTTTTAAAAAATAGTGCATAGGGGGAGCCCGGGTGGCGGTTAAGTGCCCAACTCTTGGTTTTGGCTCAGGTCATGATCTCGGAGTGGTAAGATCTGGTAAGATCAAGCCATGAGAGGGGCTTCCCGCTCAGCGGGGAGTCTGCTAGAGTTTCTCTCTCCCTCTCCCTCTGCCCTGACACCCTGCGCACTCTCCAGCACACATGCTTTCTCTCTCAAATAAATAAATAAATAAATAAATAAATAAATAAATAAATACATCCTTTAAAAAAATAGTGTGGGGTGCCTAGGTGGCTCTATCAGTTAAGCATTTGCTTTTGGCTCGGGTCGTGATCCCGGGATGCTGGGATGGAGCCCCGCATGAGGAGTCTGCTCCTCCTTCTTCCTTTGTCCCTCCTCCTGCTCATGCTCTCTCTCACTCACCCTCTCTCAAATAAATAAATAAAATCTTTTTAAAAGAGTGCATAGGGGGCAGCCTGGGTGGCTCAGTGGTTTAGCGTTGCCTTCAGCCCAGGGCGTGATCCTGGAGACCTGGATTCAAGTCCCACGTCGGGCTCCCTGCGTGGAGCCTGCTTCTCCCTCTGCCTGTGTCTCTGCCTCTCTCTCTCTCTCTCTCTCTCTCTCTGTTTCTCATGAATAAATAAAATATTTTAAAAAATAAAGCGTGCATAGGAGTATATGTCAGAGATAGTAAGAAGTCTGAGCCTGCCAGCAAGATTGGTAGGGGGTGGAAATTCAAAGCTACAGAGTTAAATGTGAGTCGCCATAATGGGTGATGAACTCTATGAGAAAAACCAAGAGAAGGGTACAAAATGCAGAGGATTTTATAACTAGACACAGGCTTATACTTGTATCTAGTCTAGTTATTTAATTTACCTCCTCCCCCCAACACACATACGCGTAGGTGATGTGAAGTGTAGAGAACATAAATAATTTGATCAAGATCACTCAATTAACAGCTGAAGTGAAACTAATCCGTTCCCTGTCTCCTAAACTAGTGCAAAAGGAATTAAATACACAACATTGAGCATTGAAAATATAAAGCATAGGGTAACATACCAAAATAAGTACTTGGCCTTTTGTTAAATGCAAAACAAACAACCCTCCAGGGGAATATGATTGCTCTTTACACTTTTCTCCCTTGAATACCTGGGCAGTCCTTGGGGACTCAAAGGAAACAACTGAAGAAAAGAGATAACCCCAGAAGGTGTGATGACATGAAGATCTAGGAAAGTGAGAAAGAACACAGGGTGTTCCAAGTTCAGGGATGGCTCAGACATGGATGAACGAGAGTGGGGATAGGTGTGTGTGTGTGTGTGTGTGTGTGTGTGTGTGTGTGTGTGTGTAGAAGGGGATTGTGCATATATGGTATGGTAAAGAACACTGGGAACCTGGATTTGAGTGATGGCTCTGCAATCAATTCACTATGTAACATATGGGTCTTATTTTCCCTTGTAAAAAATAAAGGAACTGGTTTGTATCTGCACTATGCAATGCCATAGCCACTACCCACATGTGATCACTTGAAATGTGGCTAGTCCTAATTTAGATATGCTGTAAGTATAAAATATATAGAGGGTTTCAAAAACTTAGTAAAAAAATACATTAAACGATCTCATTATTATTTCCTTTTTTAAAAATATTTTTTGACTGGAAAGTTTATTGGAAAATCTATGTGAAGCATAATTTAAAAGCATTTAAAACAAATTAAAAACCTCTATAAAGGAATGCCTGGGTGGCTCAGCGGCTAAGCATCTGCCTTCGCTCAGCACATGATCCTGGAGTCCCCGGGGTCGAGTCCCACATAGGGCTCCCTGCATGGAGCGTGCTTCTCCCTCTGCCTGTGTCTCTGCCTCTGTGTGTGTGTGTGTCTCTCATTAATAAGTGAATAAAATCTTTTAAAAATAAATAAATAAATAAATACCTCTATAAAAGGTCAGGACATTCAGCATTTTAAGATAAAACTTATTAGGAAAATTGTACTATCATGGTTAAGAAAATAATTATGGGAAGCTATATGTTTGTAAATTATAGAAAACATTAAAAATTAAATATCTAACAAAATATGTCTTGCTATTGCTTTGGGAGAGAATATGGGGACACATTTTTTATTTTATTTACATATACTTATTAAAAGATTTCCCATACGACACTGCAAATAGTTCCATTTCCCTTGTATTTTGCTATAATACATGAATTCCCACAAAGGGTATGGAATACATAAAATTACAAATATGGCAGAAAAGTAAACCATATCACACCCAAATACACAGTGAATTACTGCAAAGTGCATACCTGAACATATAAGGCACATTAGTTTTAGAAAAAGAGCACTGCCCACCCCCAACATGTTAATATTTCTTAGATGTATTTATTTATTTATTTGACAGAGAGAGAGAGAGAGAGAGAGGGAGAGAGAGAGCACTAGTAGGTGGAGTGGCGGGCAGAGGGAGAGGGAGAAGCAGACTCCCCGCTGAGGAGAAAGCCCAATGCAGGGCTTGATCCTAGCACCCTGGGATCAGGACCTGAGCCAAAGGCAGACGCTTAACTGATTGAGCCCTCATTAATATGTTTGATATTGATTATCTGTTAAAAGGATAACATTGTTGATATATTGGGTTAAACCAAATATATTACTAGACATTAATATAATCTAATGTAGGTACTAGAAAAATTTATATTTACATATGTAGCTCACATCACATTTCTATAATGGACAGCACTGGGCCATGATCTCCAAGGTTAGTTCTATCTCAAACATTCAATGACTTTATGAAATCTCAATAAAGATGAGAGAAGTACAGTGGTAGTACAGAAAGGATGAAGAGAAATGAATGTGCATGGCAGTAGTTAGAAGTGAGATGGAAGAGAAAAAAGACAGAAAATGAAAACATTGAAATTCCAAATACTTGCGGTTTATATAATTTGTTTCTTTACCAACCAATTTCTCGAGTTGGATTTTTTCCCTTTTCTAAAATGGTGACATATATCATACACAGAAGATTTTAGAAAACATACATGTGTAATCTTAGAGCTGGGCTTTTTAACTGATAAAACTGGCCTTAATGGGCCCAATACTGGCATAGAATATTTCCTTTTCGAATAACTTTAGAAATATTAACAAAAATAATCTCTCCTTACTCTATTAAGGGTGATTAATAGATAGTGAAACATTGGGCATGTAGGTGGCTCAGTGGGTGAGCATCTGCCTTCGGCTTGTGTTGTGATCCCAGGGTCCTGGGATAGAGTCCCGCATCGGACTCCCTGCATGGAGCCTGCTTCTCCTTCTGCCCTTGTCTCTGCCTCTTTCTGTGTGTCTTTCATGAATAAATAAATAAAATCTTTAGAAAAGATAGATAATGAAACAAAAAAATAGTGAAACATTACTTACCAGAAACAAAACTGAGAACCAGTGGTTAACTACCCAGTTGCCCATGGTCTGGAGGTGGTTTAGAGTCTCTCTAGGCAGCAGGAAGATTCAGCAACCTGGATTCTAGAGAGGTTCTTCAAGGTTAGCACCTCTGTCTAGCTCAGAGTATGTGAGTCTTTAAGATAGGAAAGATGCACAATTACCCAGAAATCTTCAAGGAATGAAATAAGTGCATTCTGCCTTCCTCCTCTGGACGGAACATGTTATCGGCTTCAGTAGACCAGCCCTACTTATGAGAACCACAGGGGTTTTCCCTAGTGGGGTTTTATCCCTTCAGGAAATAGCAGTCTTCTTGAGTGAGAATATTCTCTCTCATCATCTTATCAACATGACCTAGTATGAGGCATTGCTTTCCTGATAAGACAGTTGCTAAAGCTTGTCACTAAAGGCTGGGGCTACAAACAGATGACCTCAGGAGAAGCAGAGCAGGAAGCAAGCCTGTTAAGCTTTAAGAAAAGCTGCCACATCTGCACACTGGATTTGGACCTCAGACCAGCTAGCTCAGAAACGTCACCATATGTGTTCCCCTGGAGGATAATCTGGCTCTGCAGAGAGCTAGACTGGCTGGCAGGACAAGTGAAAAAAATGGCTAAATAAATAAGAGAAAATTTAGGAGCTAAATTTGGTTCAAAACAACAAAGACAGAGGGACGCCTGGATGGCTCAGTCGCTTAAGCGTCCGACTCTTGATTTCGGCTCAGGTCGCGATCTCAGGGTCCCGGGATTGAGCCCACGCCAGGCTCTGAGCTCATCAGGGAGTCTGCTTGAGGATTCTCTCTCCCTCTCCCTCTCCCTCTGCCCCTACCCCACAAAAAAATAAATAAATCTTCAAAAAAAAAAAACCCAGAGGCATAATACTCTGACAGGTGATTAGTTTTCTAATATGGATTAACTAGAGTTGCGTGTTCAGTTCTGGGCACTGATCTTTTTTTTCCTTTTCTAAAATGGTGAAATATGTCACACACAAGAGCATGCATAAAACATATATATGTACTTTAAAGAATAATTTTAAGGAATGAATATTTATGTACACACTACCCAGGTTTAAAAAATAGAATATTTATTTCTAGCATCTTAAAACCCTCTGTGTGTCCCTCTTTTATTACAATTCCCATATTCCTCTCTCCCTCCACCATCAGACGTGACTACTATCTTGAAATTTGAGGTAATTATTGCCTTGTTTTTCTTCATAGGTTTACTGAGTGCTTCCCTAAACAACATACCATATTGTTAGATTTTTCCTGTTTTTGAGCTTTTTAAGAAATGAGACCTAGTTGGTTGTATGTATAAATGTTCTTGTGATTTGCTTCTTTCACTCAATATTGTGTTGGATGATGATAGAACAATGTTGATAAAATGATGTATATATGCTACAGTTACTCTAGAGTATATATATCCTGGAGTGAAATTCCTGGGTCCTGGGATTTGCACACATTCAACTTTACTGCGTAATGTCAACTTTCTCTAGGTGCTTACCAACACTTGATATTTTTTATTTTTATGATTCCAGTGGTAATAAAATATTACTTTGTTGTGACTTTAATTTTCATTCCCTGATTACTAATGAGGTTGAACATCTTTTTTTAAAGATTTTATTCATTTATTTGATAGTGAGAGAGAGCGCACGCACGCAAGTAGGGGGAGGGGCAGGCAAAAAGAGAAGCAGGCTCCTGGCTGAGCAGGGAGCCCCATGCAAGACTTGATCTCAGGACCCTGGGATCATGACCTGAGCTGAAGGCAGATACAACTCACTGAGCCACCCAGGCACCCCAGGTTGGGCATCTTTTAACTCAACTATTGACCCTTTGAATTTTGTCTTTTGAGAAGTGACCATTTTAGTTTTTGGCCTATATTTATATTGTTTCATTTTTCTATGTTTATAGATTTGAGTTCCCTTTATAATCTGATATTAATCCTTGATCGGTTACATTTATGGCTTGTCTTATCTTCTCAGTAGTGTTTCTTGATAAATAGAAGTTCCTAATTTTAATGTACTCTGATTTATCAGTTGTTTCTTTTGTAATTTATACTTTTTGTGTCTACTTTTAGAAATCCTTTAATACCCAGAAATCATTAAGATGAGAGACTCCTAACTCTGGGAAATGAACAAGGGGTACTGGAAGGGGTACTGGAAGGGGAGGTGGGCAGGGGAATGGGGTGACTGGGTGACGGGCACTGAGGGGGGCACTTGACAGGATGAGCACTGGGTGTTATACTATATGTTGGCAAATCGAACTCCAATAAAAATATACATATTAAAAGAAAGACATTTTTTTACAGGGACACCTGGGTGGCTCAGCGGTTGAGCATCTGACTTTGGCTCATCCCAAATTGAGTCCCAAATGGGGCTCCCTGCATGGAGCCTGCTTCTCCCTCTGCTTATGTCTCTGCCTCTCTCTCTCTCTCTCTCTCTCTCTCTCATGAATAAACTCTTTTAAAAAATTATTTTGCATTTTCTTCTAAAAGTTTTATATTTTTGCCTCTCACATTTGTTTTGACTCCATCTGGAGTTGATGTTTTTATGTATGGTATGAGGTAGGGGCCCAATTTACTATTTTTCCATATGGAAAACAAATTGTGCCAGCACTATTTTTGAAAAGTACACTTTCTTCACTGATCTAAATGTCAGTTCTATATACAGGTGGGTTTATTCTTGAATTCTATTCAGTTTACCCCATGCCATGGCCTTAATTCCTATGGTTTTATAATAAATCTTGACATTTAATAGGACAGGTCTCCCCACCTTGTTCTTTAAGAATGTTTGGCTATTCTTGACCTTTTGCACTTTTATGTAAATTTTGGATTCAACTTCCCCTTGCACCTCCTTTGTTACATTTGTTGCTCAGTACTTTATATTTTTATAGGATTATAAATCACACCTTTTTAACTTTCAATTATAGCTATTACATAAAAGGGCAACTTATTTTTACATATTGATTCTTATATCTAGCAATGTCGCTGAACTTATTAATTCTAATATCTTTGTATTTGATGTTTTGGATTTTTATAAACTAAGTCTTATTTTTGGTATAATGACAATTTCATTTCTACCTTCTTGATTCTTTTATCTTTTATTTCTTCTTCTTCTTCTCCTTCTTCTTCTTCCTTTTTGGCTTGCTGCACTCACTAGAACTTCCAATACAATGTTGAGCAAAGATAGTAACAGTGATCTTGTCCAATTCCCAGCCTCAAAGGGGATTCTTTCCACATTTCACCCTTAAGTATGATGTTTGGCATAACTTTTTGTCAATACCTGGCTGTATGTTCTTATTTTACTTTAGGCACAAAAGTGAATATTTAAAATAAGAAATCATAGCACATTTTTGACAGCTTTATTGATGTATAATTTATATACCATAAAATTTCCTCATTGTAAATATACAGTTCAATGAATAGCACATTTCATATTTTACAAAGCTGAAAAATCTCTTCAATAGCACAAAACTCACAAAAAACACTTTTAGGGACGTCTGGGTGGCTCAGCAGTTAAGCATCTGCCTTCAGCCCAGGGCGTGATCCTGGAGCCCTGGGATCGAGTCCCACCCACATCAGGCTTCCTGCATGGAGCCTGCTTCTCCCTCTGCCTGTGTCTCTGCCTCTCTCTCTCTGTGTCTCTCATGAATAAATAAATACAATCTTAAAACAAACAAACAAACAAACAAAAACACTTTTATTAGCTTTCTAACACACATGCAACTTAGTGTCACAGTGCTATGTGAAATCAGCACAGTAGGTGGTGAAGTCATTCCTGTATTAAGACAGCTAGCAATCAATTAACTATGAAAGTATCAGTGCCCCACATAATATATATTCTTCAAAATCCAAACTAAATATACCACCAACACAACTTCCCTTTAGTTCTATCCAGAAATGCTTATGGCCACTCCAGTGTGGCTTGACATGAGGGGAAGTATGACAGAGGGGAAGGAGGAGCAGAAAGAGACCATCATCTTAACCAAGTGTGATAAAAGTATCTTACTTCTGCAAATTTTACAGAAGCACTTGAACATGCTCAAGACCACACCTTAAAAGAGAAACTAAAGCTTGTCCTTGGGAGGGTAACCAGAATGATGTAATGATTTGAAACCATTTTATATTAGGAAGTGTTAAAAGATTTAGGGAATTTGGCCTCGAAAAGAGGTTTGTGGAGAACATGAACTTATCTACATTTGGGTTTTGTTGTTGTTGTTGTTGCTGTTGTTTAAGGTTTAGTTTGTTTTGTATGTGGTTCCAAGAGGTCAACCCAAGATTGAAGACTCTAAAGCAGCAACACATTTTTTTTATAGATTTTATTTATTTATTCAAGAGAGACACACACACACACACAGAGGCAGAGACAGGCAGAGGGAGAAGCAGGTTCCATGCAGGGAGCCCGATGCAGGACTCAATCCCGGGTCTCCAGGATCACACCCTGGGCTGAAGGCGGCGCTAAACCACTGAGCCATCCGGGCTGCCCCAGCAACACATTTTTGTTCAATAAAAGCAAAATTTTCTCACACAGGTGTTTAGAGAAGTGAAGAGGTAATGAGTTTTCTGTTAATTTGAGATGCTGAAGGAAAAATGAATGCCTTCTCCCCAGCTATTTTATAGGGGGAATTTCAGCACCAGATGGATGGTTAATTAAATGTCTTTGAAGTATCTTCCAATGTTGAGATCCTGTGATTCATGAGAGAATGATTTATAATCTAGATGACAATTTATGTATTATCTGAACAATTATACATGCCACACTGAATGAAGCCTTGTGTCTGGAGGGAGGGGCCCCTATTCCTAATATCAGAGTATTAGAAAGTCAATTGATAAATTGATGAATATAGAATCTGGCAAAGACGGTCTGATGATTGGGGCACCTGGGTGGCTCTGTGGCTGAGTGTCTGCCTTTGGCTCAGGTTGTGATCCTGGGGTCCTAAGATCGAATCCTGCATCAGGCTCCCTCCGAGGAGCCTGCTTCTCCCTCTGCCTATGTCTCTGCCTCTTCTGTGTCTCTCATGAAGAAATAAGTAAAATCTTAAAAAAAAGAGATAGTCTGATGGTCTTAATGGAATATTATTAAATTGCAGCAGCAGGATCATTTGTGCCCTTTCAAAATAAGATTATAT